AACTAGCTATAGGTAAAGTATAGAGTAATAGAAGTCCCTACTCTACTTATAGTAGTATTAGATTTACTAGGGAACTTGTATAAGACTATATATATAGATCTACTAGAGAGAGCTACTAATAACCTGCTACTAAGCTAGAAGCTTTAGGACTTATAACTAGGTCTAATAGTTACTCTAGAAAATAAAGATATAATACTAGATAAATAGGAAGTAGAAGAGATCCTTTATATAAAGAATATAAGAGGAAAAGGAAAGCGTTAAGTCCTAGTAAAATAGAAGGGGTATATTAATCTAATATAGCACCTGCTAGAGGTAGTGTAGGATACTAAGGCTCTAGATAGGTTTAAGGAATAGTATAGGGATACTACGTATAATAATAGCCTAATACGTATAAAAGCTAGGAGGTAAGTGTAAAAGGAAACTAGAATAATAACTTAGACCTTTATTATAATTAAGAAGTAGAAAAGTATTAGAGATATCTTTTATTTATCCTAATAATACTCTAAGCAAGTGCCCTACTACTAAAGTTTTATAATATAGCTAATAATTAGGTAGCAGTATCTATACTATTACTATCTATAACTAACCTCCCTCTAGCCCCCTTTAAACTATTATTTATATTATTCTAATACCTCTATATCTCTTAGTAATAGTAGTAACGCTTGCGTGTAGCGCAGGTAGGGGACAACTTAGTTAACAAGTATAAGCAGCAGCAGTAGCGGCGTTAGAAGGAGGGTAGTGCTTTAATAGCTTACTAACGCATAGTACCCTAGGCCTAAAGAAAATAAATATTAGAATAGATATAAAGGGAATAAAGGAAAACTAATACTAATAATAAGAGTCTTAATACCTTAGGTAGTGCACTTAGTAGCGCTCTTAAGCTTATTAATATAAAGGTTAGTTTAGGCCTAGGTCTTATTTATACGCTAGTTAATATACTAGAAGGTAATACTAGTAGTAGTAGCAAGCTATATAATATTATTATTACTATAACTACTACGTAAAGGCGTAATAGTAGACTAAAGTAGAAATACTAGAGCACTAGTAGTAGATAGAATAATAGCACTAAGCTAATACTAATTATAGGCGCGCAAGTAGGTAGTAGGGGTAAGTAGAGTAATAGCGTTATTAGTTTAATCCCTTAATATAAGATCCTTAAAATAATAGTAGAGCTAGTAGAACTATAGTATAAACTAGTAATAGGTGCCTTTAGTAGGTTTCCCTATAAAAGTACTAAGGGTCCCCTTCTTTATAATATAAAGGTGATCCTCCTAGTAACTATAATAAAACTAAAGCTAGTTATAGAGGGCTTAATAAATATTAGGATTATTAATAAGAATAGCTTCTAACTAAGTATAAGTCTTATAGCTATAATAGTAGGACTTATATAAGCGCCCTAGATATAGTTAGAACTTGCTATAAAGAAAATAAAAATTAAGGGGAACTTACTACTACCCTCCTAATAGTTACACTTACTAAAGAGACAAAGCTAGTTAATATACTAATTATAGGGAAGCAGCTTTATAAAGCTACTATTATATTCCTTATTATCTAAGTTACTAGAAATAATAAAGCTACTAAGTAACTAGGTTTAGGGAGATATATACTAAATAAAAAGTTAGTACAGGAAATATAGGGAGAATATTAGAAGTACGCACCTTATCTTAGTAGGCCTAGCGCAGGGTCTAACTACCTTATAGTAGATCCCTACTACTAGTACTAGTAGTAGTAGATAAGGATATAATAGGGGCTAGATAGGCAGGATTAATAGAAAAAGAGTAGAGAGAGGGCTAATTAGTAGGGAAAATCTATTATATAATAAAGTAAGTTTAGGAAATTTATAGTAGGGTAGGATAGCTATATTAGAACTTTTATAGTAGGGTGCTAAAATAAGCGTATAGACGCTACGCGCGCGTACTGCTTAATATATAGGCCTATTATAACTTAGGAAGGAACATAAAGATATAATAATAAAACCTAAGAATATATAGAAATAAAGCCTAAAATAGATTATAGGGTACAAAGATATAACCCTAAACCCCTAGAAAGACAATTTTACAATAGTTTATAGGGGAAGGTTAGGGGTATATAAAGGGCTTAGGCTTATACCTAAGCCTAGGTCTAATATAAGATAGACTAAGTCTAACACTACTACTAAGCGAACACATTACACACCTATAAAAAGGCGCTAAGGGCTTACCTCTCCTTTAAGATACTAAATACTATTATCAACGCTTATTGCATTCTCCCTTAAGGCTAGTCTATAATATTCTCTTAGAGAAGTAATAAATAGATCTTAGTAACCTATAGGAGGTTATAAGTTAGCTCTCCTATTACTAACTTTTTAATAATCCTTTAAAATATAGTTTAACCCTAATCTAGTAAGATCCTAGTAGATAAAGCTTTAAGATAATCCTGTACTATAAGCTATCCTTTAATATTAGGAACGTTGTATACCTTAGCTTGCGCATATAGGATTGTCCACTCCTTCTGCTAGTAATTAGTATCTTGTCTACTTATCTTTACCTTAGCAAGATAAGCTTTATACTACAATCTTGCTAGTATTGCAGCCCTTAAATTAGTTAGCGCTAGGTTATTACAGAGCACTTAGATAAGTGCTTAGAAGGTTACTCTTCCTTAATTAACAAGCTCTATATAGGCTAGGGTAAGGATCCCTTAATCTACTATATTATTAACCTATATAAAAAGGTTCTAGATTACTAATAACTTTAATACCTAATCTAATAAGTAGGCTTAGTACTAAGCTATTTTAAGTTTATACTGCTTGCTTATTATATTAGATAGCGTAATATCTATTAGCATGTTAGGCTTAATAGGTCTATTCTTAAAGTGGTTTTAAGCATCCTAAGCCTTAGGGTCTACCTCTACCTAGATCCCTATAGTTAGGGCATAGTATCTAAATTAAATATACTAGGTGGGCCAGTTAGTTAATCTAGTAAGTAGGATATCCCCCTTTAGGATTTAGTTGCTTATAGTAGAAGAGTAATAAGTAAGCTTCTACTTAAGAAATAGTATAAAGAAAGAGTAAAGCTTGCTAGCTTAGTGTCTAAGTTAAATAATACGCTTAAATAGATAGGATAATCTTTAATAAGGTAAAGCGTGACCTAGGCTTATAACTATAAAAATTTAGATTACTAAGGTTAGGAATAATTTAGGAGATAGATTATTAGATTATATCTACTATAATCGTACTTATATATATAGAGCTTCAGCTACCCTTACTAGAAGGTGAATAATTAGTAAACCTTCCTTACTAGAGCTCCTGCTTTTTGTTAGGCACTTAGCAGTAAGCTAGTAGTTAATTAGATAGTGGGTCATACAGGGGTATTGATTAGGGTTAATCGGATCAAGATGCTCCGTGATCTGGTTAATATCCCTCCTGCAACATTATACTATTAGGATCTCTATAGCCTCTATACCCTTAGTCTAAGAATTAGTAACTATAATATATTTAGCTAGGTTTTAGGTAGCTTCTTAAATAGTAGCCTTAAATAACTTAATATCTAACTAAAAGGACTCTAAAGTCTCCTCTTCTTTATACCCTTTAGGGGGGTTTATAACTAGACTATAGTACTTATTAAGAGTACCTTAAAGGGTAGAGTACTTATAGCTAATATAGGAGGGAATCTATTATAATTAGAAAAGAAACCCTACTAGACTTAAATACTAACTAGATTATAGTACTTATTCTAAGAAATATAGTAGTAGTACTTCTTAGAATTCTTAGACTTAAAGTTAGAATTATTAAACTTACCCTAAGTAATAGCCCTAATAGATCTTATATAGAGAGCGTGATAAGTAACTAGTAGTACTTCTAGTAGTACTAGGACTAGTATAGTAAAGGGTTCTAATTTAGATTAGTAACTACTTAATTATATAGATTAAATACTTACTAGATTTTAGATAGATTAGGTTAAATAATTAAAAAATTAGGGATATAGGAATAAGAAAGTTAGTAGGTAGAGGGCTAGTTATAGGTAGGCTAAGGATAGGGGTCTGTGCCCTAGGAACAAGAAGTAAAGGTAAAGGCAGAAGTAAAGGTAGATTTATTTTATAAGAGCTTTTCTTTAATAAGGGATCTAAACCTAATTATAAGGATAGGGACTATCCTTTCTTTATAGGAGGGGGTAGTATATTAATAAGGTAGAATTACTTACCTATTATTCTATACTAAGTTAGGCCTAATAAAGGACTAACTTACTAATATATATAGAGAGTAGCTTACCTATATTAGGATAGGTATATTCTTCTTATCCTTTTATACAAGACCTATAGGTATAGGAATCTTATCCTTTTCTATATAGACGCGCACTCCTACATACCTTTAAGTTATATAGGATACCTTTTAGATGCCCTACCTACCTATATTGTTATATCCTTTAAGATACTAAATACTATTATTAACGCTTATTATGTTCTCCCTTAAGGCTAGTCTATAATAGAGTTGTAGTTTTAGTAAGGTCTTAGTAGAGTGTCTAACTTACCTGTGTGTCTAACTTACCTATAGGGTATATTAGGTATTTATACTACCTATAATTATATAATCTATCTAACCTAGGCTAGTAGAGCCCTATATCCTAATATATACATAAAGAAAGAAGAAAATATCTAAGTAAAAAGTAACTTTCTTAAATATATTATATATTTCCTTCTTACTATACTAGTATAGAGCTACTTATATATAGATAAGCAAATAGTTAAGAAATATTCTATCTACCTAAGATATAAAAAATATATTTGCTATTTCCTTCTTCCTGTAATAGTAAAGAGCCACTTATATGCAGAGAAACAAAGATTTAAGAACTATTCTGTCTACCAAAGACACAAAAAAAACATTTCCGACACCGGGAATCGAACCCGGGCCTTGCCGGCACTGTACAGTGAACTGACTCTGCGAGGTGAGAGCGGCAAATCCTAGCCACTAGACCATATCGGATTGATTTGATATGTTAACCTGAGGAATACAAAAGAATATATCTCTAGGTTTTCATGACCAAGGTAGTGATAGAGCTGCCTAGAACCACTAGTGCAATTTACTGTGAGAAAACTAACTTACATGTCCCCACCTGCACAGGCCATTGTGGACACCTTTAAAAGTACGTAATGCCTGTTTAGTGTATTATGTACTTGCTATACAGGGCGCCGTTAATTACCCCGGTTAGCTGAAATACCTAAGCTACACGCTTGTAGAGAGCCGTGTCCTGTTTATAAGTGGTTATATTGAGAGCATAAGAGTTTAAACAATACCTTAAGGCGGTCTGCCTGCATGCCAAAGACCTCTTGGCTTGAATACAAGATTAAGAAAGAGAAGGCGTGTTGCAGGGTAATAGAAACTTGGCATGAGTAATGGCTAGTCATGACGCAAATTACCCTTTGTTTACAACTGTTGTCCTCCTCTCCCTTCTCATGTTTCAAGAAGCCTTTTTAGATGTAAGGTAGCAGAATTCACAACACGCATGTGCATCACCATGACTTGATCCGTGCCCTCTCAACACCCTCACGATAAAGCCAGAATAAGGGTGGGGACTGGTTTCGCTATCTATAAATGCGTGGCATCAATGCAATGTGGTATAAAAGAGACCATGATGAAGATTTTGTGTCCATTCGAATTCTCTGGGTATTCCCTTCATCCATTCGTACGTATTCTGCCCATTCCAGCATGTACAAACTAAGTCGTATCAACAGCGCCATGATCTGCCTAGCCTTGTATCAAAACTGTACTCTTGCCATGACCACTCCAAGACAATGCCTACAATTCTTTTGGCCTGATCCACTCTTACAAGAAGTACTCACCCCGCCCCCCACGACCGGCAGGAACAGCGCGCTTATGATCCGGTACCGCAGAGAATATTTGGAACTCTGGCTTAAGGTCTTCTCCAAGATTCATAATGGAAGCTACGTTTCCACAACGATAGCAGTAGTTGGGTGCAGACCAGACGGTGACGACGTCTTTGTCCTCGAAATGATATTTGTAGCCTTCGTTGACTAATTGATGGGCACGTGCAATAAGTTGTAGACCGTTCACATGGTTGAACTGTTGCAAGAGTCAGTGGATTGGTGTGAGAGATGACGATACCGAGTAAAGCACGTACCTCGGATGATACTTTGTCGCCGAATAGCCAGCCTGCGCCTCGAGGCGACACGGCCCATGTATCCACGTCTTCTGGATCACTCCACACCAAATCGCAAAAGGCTCCCTCGTGGGGAATCTCCTGGGCTCGTGCCACAACGCGGATTTGGTCCAAGGTACGGATCTCGGGGCTCAGTCCACCATGAACACAAAGCACCTTGCCATCAACAATGGCTGCCAGTGCAAGGAAGTCGAATACCTGACAGCAAGCTTTCCATACGGAAGCATTTCCGTATTTTGTTTGGCATTCCTCATAGAAGCCATATACTTGGGTGATTTGCCGCGACTCGTGGTTTCCTCGAACAAGCGTGACTCGGTCAGGGAATCTAGTCGTGTTAGTACGAGGGCTACAAGCAGTATTGCGGCGCAGGCCTACTTTGCTTTCAAGCACATGAGAAGCGTGAAGGTTTCCAAGCTGAAGTACCCTCGATCGACGAAATCGCCCAAGAAGATGAAGTTTTGCTGGCCATTGCCTCCTACGGTATTCTTTGTCGATCCTGCATCAGACGCAGATCCAGTACTCCTCCTGTCGTGCACACTCCTACTTCGACCTCGCTCTTCTTCCTCATCCTCCTCACCCTCGTCCTCACCGTCACCCCCAGGGGGGCTGGTAGGGCCAATGTAGTTGGGGTCGCGCTGGAATCTACGTTTCATCTTGCGCTTGACCTTGGGATCCGTTATACTGGTTGGCGGCTCCAAGTCGGCCGGGTTAATAGTGCTCGGTAGGGTGACGGGTGGGGAGAGTGGTGCGGCGGGAGCGTCGTTGGGCATGCCACCCGCTACACGGAAGAGCTCTAGCAGATCGTAGAATTGGCCGTGGATATCGCCACATACCGTGACGGGTGTTCGCACGGGCTGGATATTGGATTCTAGGCGCAGTTGTCAGCTTGATGTCCTGAACTGAAGCTATGCGCGTGCGAAATGAACAACAGGTCCTATTATAAGATTGAGGCGCGCGCGAGACCAACACTCACCTTCCATCAGGCACTCCTTGACGATCTCACAGAGCCGCTTCATATCAGCTTCGGGCAGGTATCTGCATAGTTTGGCCTGCTCCAGCCACTCGTCAGGCCCTGCGCCCTTTGCGAGGCGTGCTGGGCCCGGTTGCGGGACATCGTTGTCTTTTGGCATCTTGATCGATTGATTCTGTTCTGAGTGGAGACGCCGAAGGAGAGGAGAGCTGGGGCAGAGATGGTGTATGCCAGACTAGAAGCGCGGCAATGGCGGCGGCGAAGAGAGGCTTCGTGTGACGGTGGGGGTCCTCCGGCGTGGTGTGGTGGTGGCCTGGGGTATCATGGGTTGCAGTGAAGGAAGAATGCACGTGGAGACGTCGAGATTGAAGAGGGGCGGTTGTGTAGTATAGTAAGTGTGCAGGTCCGGCAGCGAATGTGTACACAGACACGTACACAAACACAGACACAGACACATATATATACACACATACACACGCACACGCACACACACACGTCCAAGTCGATGTTTTGGGGGGTGGGGGGGGGGGGGGGTCCCTTGCTGATCCGACCTCGTCGTGCTACTGCGCATCCTTCTCGACCTACACCCTGGCTCTCTTCAAGTATCCATCCTTTAACATTCACTGGACCGTATTCTCAAACTACCCTTTCATGTCGTCTTGGCCTAGATTAAACTAGCTCTATGGGTCCATTTGATGATGCTCTTCTGTAGGTTATCTTGTACCTCATGCATTTCTCTTTTCCCTATGGGTCCCTGGTCTTGCCT